CCCACCAATTTCATGACCACCATGTCCCTGCTTTTTGCTGTCTGTTGTTACAGCTCTCTGTCTCCTGGATCTAGACTATTCTCAGCTTATAAATCCTGATTCTAAAGGGCATACACTCCTCCCTTCTCTTCTTGGTGGTAGGTAAGTTCCTCCTCTGCTCACCTCGCTCCTGTAAGGTAAGAGGTGTGACTCCAGTAAGATGGAGAAGGATGGTGACTGAGTTACAGCCTCCAGTGAGAGGGTGACTCCAGATACATCCCACCCGACTCCAGCCTCATGCACCTAACCAACCGTTGGCTCTGACATGGAGCCCTGACCACACAGGCCTAGAGGCTGGGGTCTGCAACACATGTCACATGGGAGGCTAGGCGCATCAGACTGCAACTGGAGGCCAACTCCATGATACTGGATGCTGACACACATTTTGGGAGAACACAGTTAATTCATCGTATTCCATCCTTAATCCCCCTTAGTGTGTAGGAGTTGTAAAGATGATGGCTAACCAAAGCAATTGCTGCCAAGTTGGTTCTAAGGCTGCAATCCTATAGGACAGAGTAGAACTTCCCCAAGGCTGTCAGTCTGTACGGAAGCTGACTACCACACCTTTCTCAGACCGAGCTGCTGATGCGCTTGGGCCACCCACCTTTGGGTTAGCAGCTGGATGCTTTCATCACGTGCCTCTGGTGTTTCTTGTAGAGGTAGCTGCCGGGGCCGTATTGAGTAATTTACTAGCTGAAAAGAATGAGCTGCTTTCTGGGCACGGCCAGGCTTGGTCCCCTCCAAGGTAACGGGGGAAGCATACAAAGGGAGACGGCCTCTGGAAGAGCATGGCATTTGTGAGTGATTACAGTGGATGTGGATCAGTCGTTGGAGCTCTGATACCCAGAGTAAAATGGAAAGAAGTCAGGCAGGCAGTTTGGGGCCAGATTTGGGAAAGTTTTGTTTGCCTTGCTAAGGAGCTTGGACTTCGCCCTCTAGCTTGGGGCTGGTCAACATGGTCAGTGCCATTATCTAGAAAGCTAATTTACAGTGTGCTCCTTAGGTCCCCTCTCTCTACGGAGACCAGCTCTTGGGTTTGGGCCTGGTTGCGGTCAGGTGCCAATATGAACACATGGCTGGACTATGGAGGCAGTGGTGGTTGACATGAATTCTCACTTTGTACGGAAGAGACTTGAGTCTGATTCCCTGCCAGTGAACCTCGTTCCCCGCCATGCCACCCGTCTGTCACTAGAGGCTGTGTGACCAGGATGCGGAGCTGCCGTCAGCAGTTTCCAGACTGAGAGAGACTAGGAAGGGAGGCCAGTGCGACCCTGTGGGTCTCAGCAGTCTGATCTGCAGCCAGTCAAGGAGCGGACACAGGACTGCACAGGGTGGCCTTGATTCCTCGGCCCGCATGGTGGCAGCTGACAACTACCAAGTTTGGCTTCTTCTGCTATGGATGACATGGCATGGGACATGATCTTCTGTTGAAGAGTGATGTAGGAAAATTTACCTTCTAGTAAGGAGCACTGGCAGCAATACAGAGGATGCATTTGAAAGACAGAACTACTAGAGCAGCGGTTCTCTACCTGTGAGTTGCGACCCCTTTGGGGGTCGAATGACCCTTTCGCCCAATTCATAACAGTAGCAAAATGACAGTGATGAAGTAACAATGAATATAACTTTATGGTTGGGGGGTGGGTGGGACATTAGGAAGGTTGAGAACCACTGCACTAGAGGGTAGGAGACCAGCGACGGCAGTGGCAGTGGGTGCAGCCCGCTTCTGAAGGCCACTGGCATCTTTGTGTTGTCAGACACAGTGACCTGTTTCCAGGCTCCTCTTATGAGTTGAATCAATAGCATTTGACATGGTCAATCATTGTCTCTTTTTCACAGAACTTTATTAATTTGGCTTTTGAATACCGTATTAATTGGCCAGGAATTAAACCTGGATCTCCTGCATGCAAAGCAAGAATTCGTATAAATCACCACTGCCTCCATAGTCAACTAGCATGTATAAGATACCATCACCAGGATGTGACTAGGCCCAAGCCAAGAGTCTGTCTCAATAGACCAGGGGAGGCCTGGGGACCACATTTTCAATTCGCCTTCCAGATAACCAATCTTATTGGTTCTCCGCCTCCCTCTCCTTCTCTGTCTCCCACACATGTTCCTCCTCACCTCTCCCACACTGAAATTGCATGTCCCAGATTTCAATCCTGGACCCTCTCCTTAACACCATCTTCTCTTTGCTGAGGCTCGGTGATCTCCCCTAGTTCAGTGGCTTTACTGACAGTTTCAGCATTGTGTCTTCAGCCCCAGATCTCTTCTGAACCCCATAGACTGCCAGGTATGTCTGCCAAGGATCCTGGTAGGCAACTTCAGTTCACATGCCTGACGCAGAGCTTCTGATTGCATTGCACCCCGTCCGCCTCCTCGTCAGTGGTACTCCCCTTCCTGACAAACTCAGACCAAGGCATTGGAACTTCATCTAACCCAACAACACAACCTCCCTACAAACATGCCTGCAGAGCATGACCCTCTTTTAGCACCCCATTTACACATGCCAAGCCAGCACCATCAGCTGAATGACTGCAGTGGCTTCCTGACTGCCCCAGGCCCTGCTTCATCAATAGCTGTCTGTCCCCTCAGCATCTGATGGCTGCTCTGAATTCAAGCTGTCCAGTATGGTAACCACCAGCCTTGTGTGGCTTTTGAGCTCTTGGCATGTGGCTGGTGTGACCGAGGAACTGAATTTTACGTTTTCTATTCACTGGAATTGATTCGGAAGTAGGGAGCCATGTGCATGCAGTCATCGCAGAAAGTTCCCCTGGAGAGCACTGCTCCAAGACATTCGTGTGTAGCTCATGTTATCTCTTGCCTGACAATCTCCTCATGACGCCCTCGCTC